AAGAGCGGAGGTTGCGAGGTGGGGAGTAGGGCGATAAAAGTTCAGACAGGTATTGAGGTGCCAAGCCATGTAAAGCCTTGTAGGTGAGCATGAGGATTTTAAAGTTTACGCGGAATTTGACCGGAAGCCAGTGCAAGGACTCCAGGATAGGAGTAATGTGAACACTTGCACTAGATCTTGCACTAATCTCCTCGAATTCAGCCCCACACTCTCAACTTACCTACAAAGAAAAGGATAAACGTCGATGGGAGGGACGCTGTCTCTAAAGATGGTGCTCTCGGCCATCTTTGCGCTACCTGTCCAGCAATACGTTCCAAGCCATCTCTGCAATCACTTACTACCATGTCCAAGGTCAGAAACATTTCACTCTCACATCCTACTTCCAGGTTGTTTCTCCCTGCTATTCTTTCCTGGGGCAAAGGTCAAGAACTTCGTAGACTCTTCCCTTGCCGAATCCTGGGATATCCCTGTAACCCTGTAACACCTCCCATCCGCATTTAGTCTCTGGACGGCTTCCCCCTATCTATTCAGTGGCAGAGAATTCCGGTTTGTCTCCAAATTGGCGCTACACACTCAGAAGAAATCCGGCTACTTCTCCTCCACTCTCCCTCACACCCCCTGCTCTTAGGCTTTCCCTGGTTGCAGAAACACAACCTGCACTTCTCCTGGTCGCAGAACGAGTTATTATCAAGGGGACAGTGCTGCTGTCTGCCTCAGAAACATTCAGTCGCCCACATTTCACAGGAAGAATCACCCAAGATTCCACCAACCTACATAGACCTGCAGCAAGCTTTTAGTAAACAAGAGGCACTTTCTCTTCCTCCACACCACTCCTACGATTGTGCCATAGACTTGTTACTGGGAACTTTACCTCCTAAAAGACGCATATATCCACTCTCCAGAACAGAATCCGAAGCCTTGGAACAATACATCCAGGACTCATTAAAATCTGGTTTTATACGCCCCTCCACCTCTCCTGCTTCCACTGTTTTTTTTTGTTGTTGAAAAAAAGGACGGGATCCTGAGACCCTGTATTGATTACCAGGGTCTCATTGAACTTACAATCAAGAATCGCTACCCACTGTCTTTAATACCGGCAGCTTTGGAATCAGCCAGGGGCGCCACCATTTTTACAAAATTAGATCTCCATGACGCAGATAATGTAATCTGCATCCAGGAGAGGGACGAGTGGAAAACGGCATTTATGACAACCCACGGCAACTATGAGTATCTGGTAATGCCCTTTGGTCTGGCCAATGCCACTGCGGTTTTTCAAACCTTTATTAATGACATATTCAGAGACATCATTCAGAAGTACATTCTATCTTATCTTGATGATATCCTCATATTCTTTCATAACCTCTCGGATCATGTCACTCACGTCCGTGAAGTATTGTCCTGCCTTATTATATGCCACATTGGAGAAATGCATTTTTCATGCATCTAAAGTGCAATTTCTGGGATACTTCCTTTCACCTCTTGGTGTTGAAATGGATTCTGCTAAGGTTACTTCCATCAGGGACTGGCCAACCCCCAAGACTCTCAAACAGGACCAGCGCTTCTCAGGTTTTACTAATTTCTACCACTGTTTCATCCATAACTTCAGGTCTGTCGTCACACCCATCGCCATTCTGACTCGTAAAGGCCCTAATCAGGGCAAATGGAACCCCAAGGCTGACAAAGCTTTCCTCCGGAAGTAGACGCTTCCGGCCATGGTGTAGGCACCGTCCTGTCACAACATCTTGGGTACAAAGGGGACACTCAATCCCTGCACATTTTTCTCCAGAAGGTTGTCACCAGCCGAGGTGAATTATGACATACGGAATCGTCATCAAACTCGCTCTTGAAGAGTGGAGACACTGGCTGTAGGGGGCCCAACACCCCTTCAGCATCCTCACAGATCATAAAAATCTAGTTTACATCCACTCTGCGAAATGGCTAAACCCTTGCCAGGCATGGTAGTCATTATTCTTTTCTAGATTCCGCTTTTTAATCTCATACTCTCCTGGATCCAAGAATGTTAAGGCCGACACCCTCTCCTGCCTCCATGACCCCCATGAGCAAGAGAACATGCTGACAAGATTCTCGCAGCAATCAGGTGGGATATTGAAGACCAATTTAGACGTGCCCAGATTGGTCAAACGGTCCCTCCCTAATGCCCTCTGGACCAACTCATTGTACCAAACAACATCCACTCAGCAGTCCTTCAGTGGGGTCATGACTCTCACTTTGCCGGCCATCCTGGCTCTAAACACACGCTGGAACTAGTCTCCAGGGACTTTTGGTGGCCGTCCATAAAACCTGATATTGCCTAATATGTGCAGGCTTGCTCCATATGTGCCAGGATCAAATCTCGTTGTAACAAGAAGGCGAGGCTCCTGCAACCTCTTCCCGTTCTCGAACGACCTTGGTCAGATGTTTCTGTTGATTTTCTCTTTGATCTCCCCAAGAGCCTAGGAAAAACCGCTATAATGGTCATTGTGGATTGCTTCTCCAAAGCAGCTCACCTTGTTCCACTCCCCACCCTGCCATCCGACCAGAAAATGGAAGACCTGTTTGTCCTCCACGTCTTCAGACTTCATGGCATCCCGAAAGACGTGGTCTCGGACTGTTTATATGTAAATTTTGGAGGGCCTTTTGCTGGTCCATTTCCCTCACCTCAGGCTATCATCCAGAGGCCAGTGGCCAGACAGAGAGAATTAACCAAGACCTCTTGAAGTTCCTGAGGTCTTACGTCTCTCCAACTCAAGACAACTGGGTTCCTTTGCTCCCTTGGGCCAAGTCCGCACACAAATCCCTGATCACCCCCTCTACAGGTATGTCCCCCTTCCATTGCTCCTTAGGATACTAACCCCCATTAATCCCGGATCCCCCCCTGGATTCTGAGGTCCCATCTGTCCAAGAGTACATCACCTCACTCTGGAAACTGTGGAAAACCACCATACTCGCGCTACAGAAATTCTGGCATTTTTACCCTCTTCAGAAGCCTTCTTACTATATCTCTTTGAGGGTTTGAAGGATTTTCTACAGGTAATAATCCCAAGTATTTAAGAGAGGCTTAAACAATCCTTATTGTTTAAGAGAGGCTAGTGAAAGTGTTATGAGGGGCTGCTATATTACTTTTGCATCTAATCTGAATAAGAATGAAATGCAGAATACAGACTGCTCAGTTAGAAACCACCCTTCTTCATCTGCAAACAAAACAAAATCCTAAATTTCTACAGAGCAAAGCTAGACATGAGGCAACTCAGAAAAGCTAGTATAAAAACTATTAAAAAGTGTTAGAACAGAATGCTAAATACCAGGCAAAACACACAGAATGCCCAAGTTAAACTGGGACTAAAACAAAGGCAATAATAATGTTGTACTCTGTAAGCCTTGACATTTCTGAGACTTTTGATCATATCTATGTAGAATTCATAAGGTGGTACAGATTTGAGCATAATCAAGAAATTCTACAACTTGCGAAAATGTCCTTTCTTAACTATCAAACAGGTTGAACGTCTAGATGCTTTAACTTTGAAGAAGTCAAAGGAAGCTGTGCAATCTATTCAGAACTGAACATCTGCTGCATTGACAGAACTCCCATTTCACTCTCACCAATGCACCTAGAACAAATTAATTCCATCATAACAGTTTTATTTTATCAAATTTTAAGAATTATCATTGGACCTTTCAGTTAAGAGTGCTTGAGACATGGGTTAACTCTAGGACATAAATTTCACTTGTCAACTTTTTAGTCCTTTACCTACTGTATCCACCCTGGTCAATAAGAACTGTTCATCTTCATAAGAACATAAGAGTAGATACTGTACAAGTGAGAGGAGGCCTTTTGGCCCATCGAGCCCCCTTTGGTGACTAGCAGCTAATTCATCTACGGGATCTCACACAGCTACAGTACTGTATTTCTTGAAAAAAAAAAGGCCTGTGGGCATCGGCTTCAGCAAAGTGGCTGGAAGGTTTGTTCCATACTTCCACACCTGATGACCATATTCTTGGTGACATGTTTGATAACAGTGGCCTGAGCACATCTGAGGTTCTGAGAGAGATTGTGTTTTTCTCTTTTCTGTATCTCAGACTCTCTTTTGCTCCTTGTGTCTATGAGGTGCTACGGGATACTCCTTCATCCTACCATGCTGTGCCTGTTTTAATCAGTTCAACTGCCACCACATGGGGTGTAGCCACACCTGAAGAAGGCTCCACAGCCGAAACGTTGTGTTTTCTTTCTTCTCTTTTCAGCATGGAATAACCCTATTACTTGTTCCTTTGCAGCCTATGCATGCTGATGCAGCAACCACCTGAACTACTTCATCACTAAAACACAATATGTCATTTTAGATTTTTTATAGATCAAAACCAGTCATTTAATTTTTAAATTAGTTTTCGTAGGAAGTAATAAAGACAATCTTATTCCATTTGTAATTTAAAATTACAGTACATAAGAGGACATGCTTTCATTGAGTTATAAAATAAAAACTGGTGTCTACACAAAATATATTATAAAATTTAAAAACTGATTAGAATTGATTATGTTATTTTAACACATTGTGTAACAAATACACATGTATGTGTGAAAATTGTTCACACCATCTCAGTGTGAGATACATTGCCTGTGTGTGGAGATATTTGCATTAACAAGGGAGACAGACATCTCACATTTCTTTTAATTCCAGTGTCACGCTCTCTATAAACATCAAAATGCTTTAAGCATATTTATTTTAATTCTCTGAAATTCAACTTCACATAAAGTAAAGAAGTATGTTGAGCACAAAAATGAATACCTGTAATATTAACATTACAAACCTCACACCACTAAATGGTTTTAATGATTAACACCAGCACCAATCTTTTTAGCACACGAAAGAAACATTGTTCTCTGATTTTTTTGAAAATGGTATTAAAAAAAGATTTAGTAAAACTCACCTAAAAAAGACAGAAGCAGAAACGCCTTGTAGTAAGTCATTGCCTTAAGTCAGGAATGGGCTGAATCCTGTTTGTAGAATACACTCCTGAAGTGTGAGCCAGTCCCTTCCCGAGTAGACCAAGCCTGTGGGCAGACAAAGGTATGTGACTAATTCCAATTTCTTCGCAGCTGCTTTTGTAGGTATTTACAACCTGTCAAGCAGGATCTATGGATAAACTGGGCAGAAGGAGGTGATTCCAGGTGCAATGAGTGGGACAAACCTGTTTATTTCCATTTTTCCTGTCACTGTAATAAATATAGTCTGTTATTTTAACGTATTTGCAGTTGCTAAAAAGATATTTGGTTGCCAATAAACCAGCTACTAAAAGGGTGTGGTGGATTAAAATATACATTGTTTTAAAAAAGTATTTGCACTGTAAAGGGATTTGTTTCTTTCAACTAAGAATGGATAGTTACAGACAACTCTTTGTCTTTGTTCTGTTGTAGATTTTCATATTGATAAAAACCCTCCACTCCTCTCAAGTGCACTTTAGAAAGTCTAATGTTTGTGGAGCCTACTGCATATGATTCACCTGGCATTAAAGGACCCCTAAACACAATCCTTGGCAGAGGTCAGGAGGTACTCAAGGAGCTCAAAGGCAGGAGGTATGGATTTAAAAGAAAAGATTTAGATTATTGTTGTTCTGGCTCGCTTTTGTCAAACCCCTTAACAAAAAAAATGTGAAGAGCCCCAGAAGACACTTCTGTCAAACTCTTCTGGCTCATTTTTGAAGCTACATTTTTCTCAATTGGAAATGTAACAAAAGTGAACAGACCAGGTAATTCTGCTGATGATAACTGGAAAAAATAAACTACACTGTACTGCACTGTGTAACTAATGTTGCACTAAAGAGAAAACCTACTGTAAGTAGTCAGTTGTAAGTTTGTAGTTCAGGTGGGTAGCTGCGTCAGCATGCGTAGGCTGCAAAGGAACAAGTAATAGGTTTATTCCATGCTGAAAAAAAAAAGAAAGAGAACACAACGTTTCGGCCGTGGAGCCTTCTTCAGGTGTCAAGTGGGCCAAAGTTGTAAGTTTGGCCCACTGCTTACCCCATGTAAGATGTTTCCAGGTGTTTGGGGATCCTCTGCAGCTTCAGTTCAAGAACAACTGTCATGGAAAATACATTAAAAGCTGGACAGAACGACACAGAAAAAAATTGTAACATGCTTAGCAGAGCTTTGCTCACCTCATGCCTAAAGTGACTGGAGGTAGACTAAGATCAAATAGTACAAATGCAGATAATGCAAATAAATACCTTCTGTACACGTTTATCACACAGTGTGTATGAGAGATTTTCTTTTTAATCATTATTCGTTTGTTTTTACAAAACAAATAAGGCTTTTTATTTTTCTGTTAGATTTTTATAATTTCCTGAAAAAAAGTAGAAAAAACATTTTACTAAAGAAAACAAGTGAAACAAATAGATTTCTTAAGGATCAAAAATATATATTGATTAGTTATCCTTCATATGATTGAAAGAACAATGCTAGATTTTATTAATGAGGTCAACTAGGTTGCTGCTGGAAGAGGTGTTAGTGGGGCCAGCAGGGGGCGCTCACCCTGCAGTCCATGTGGGTCCTAATGCCCCAGTATATTGACGGGGACACTATACTGTAAACAGGCGCCGTCCTTCAGATGAGACATAAAACCGAGGTCCTGACTCTCTGTGGTCATTAAAAATCCCAGGGCGTTTCTCGAAAAGAGTAGGGGTGTAACCCCGGCGTCCTGGCCGAATTTCCCATTGGTTCTTACCAATCATGGTCTCCTAATAATCCCCCTCTATGAATTGGCTTCATTACTCTGCTCTCCTCCCCACTGATAGCTGATGTGTGGTGAGCGTTCTGGCGCACTATGGCTGCCATCGCATCATCCAGGTGGATGCTGCACATTGGTGGTGGTGGAGGGGAGTCCCCATTACCTGTAAAGCGCTTTGAGTGGAATGTCCAGAAAAGCGCTATATAAGTGTAAGCAATTATTAATTATTATTATTAACTAAATTCTGTCCGCTTTGCATTTCTGAAGTTAATTCCAATAACAGAATGAAAGACAGAGGTAAAAGTAACTATTTTATGTGCTGCTTAAGGCTCTTTCTTACAGAAAAAAAGTATTTCAGTATATCAGTATTTGGTTTTTCAGTTCTAAATGTTTAATAATCAGTGTGAGTTATGCAGGCAGTAATTCCAAGTCATATGTTAGGTACAGTAGGTAATGTATTTAATACTGACATGATGAAAAGAACCAACAAAGACTTCCATACATTTGTTGTTCAATGAGTGCTAGTTTCAGTCATAAATAACTCATTCAGCTGAACAGTATGCCTTATTAGCATTACTGCCAATAAAACATTATTGGAAGATCTTATTGCCTGTGCTTTGTGCTGTACACAAAAACTCCAAGGAGAAGAAAAGGTAAGGAGGTTAGCCTGGGGTGGGAAATCAATCCGACTGAGTGTTGAATGAAATCTGTTGTGTTGTCAGGTACTGACGTTAGTGAAAACAGAGACAGGGTTCACATGGGACAGGCACTTGCTGTTCTGCTTGGCCCCAAATAATTCATTTCACGTATCAGCATGGTAACGCTTTGTTTTTTGTTTTGTTACTCTGAATTGACATCCAGCAAATTCAGGTTCTGTTTGCCTTTCACAGCAGCACCAAAAACACGTAAAGGGAAGTATCACTAACTTTATCTTTATCAAATACGTGGAATCTCAATTGCCCGTGATCCGCTTACAGAATAAACATTTACAGCAAGGAATTTTAGTGTTTAAAACGATGACAATAAACATACAACCATAAGTATAAACACATGGTCTAAGGATTAGGTGTGGTGGCTTACTACTGCAGAACCAGATAAGGGTTTCATTAGTGAGTAATTCAGTTCTTTATTTTAACATTCAAATAAAAATGGGGGTGTGCAATTGAATCATAGATTTTATAAAAAGTATATACTGACCTCTAGTGGCATGTAGCACAGCTATCAACCAAAACGTGTATATGTCAGTTTAGTTTCAGAAGAGCTTGGTAAAGAATGAGTCTCATATAGTTCTTATTATTCTTCAGACAAATGTGCCAGTGATATGTAAGTTTTGTGAATATGTTCTTGAATTTAATCTTAACATCTTTTTTACATAAAACAGAAATAGAAAAGGGAGAGTTCACAGAACATGATCAAATATTTTAATTTGCAGAGCCCTGTGATGACTAAGATAAGATAAGATCTCTTTATTGACCATATACAATTTCTTGTATTAGGAATTTGTCTTTTTCACATACACCAGCTTGCTCTCCATGAGACACACAGACACACAGACAGGGAGAGAGAAGCTTGGGGTCAGTGCAGGGTCAGCCATTTATACGGCTCCCCTGGAGCAGTTAGGGTTAAGGGCCTTGCTCAGGGGCCCAACGGAGTAGGATTCCTCTGAAGCTATATTTTTTTCAATTCTCAATATCTATCCTTTCATTTTCTAGCCACTTGTTTCAATACAGGGCCACAGTTTAATGCTTTCCCTGCAAGCAACAGATGCAAAATTCCCATTATACTTTTATACAGAATATGGTAAATCCATATTTTTCTTTTTATTTTCACCATAGAACTGCTTAAACAGTGAAAATACCAAAAGATATGTAATTACATACAGTGATGTACTATATAGAAAGAAACTTCATTCTTACTTGACATCTAAACAGAGGATTCTAAATGGGCTAATTCATACTGTATAGTGCATGTCTGTCCAGCCTTAATTTCACATTAGTTTTGATTGAAGTGATACATTTTAGAATATGCGTGTGGCCTGAGGAGTAATATTGTAAACGAGAAAGTATTTGTTGATTTTTGTCTCACTTTTTTTTCAATTTACCCACTTACAAATTTTTGCAATAGACAGTTGTTTCCTTATGTTTCCCAGCAGTGACTCTTGTAACTCCACAAGGTAAAAGAGTTTCCCTGATGATGAAACTCTGATAATGACACGTCAAGCCATTCATATGCTGCATGCTCCAAACTCGACAGTGCCACTCACAAGAGTGAGGGCTGAGTGGGGGAGAACTGCGTTTCTCACTGAAACCCCCGCAAACCTGTCACAGATGTTGCCTTTTCACCTACACCTAATTATCCCTGACCGATTAACCCTAACCCAAGCCCTGGTGGCCCTCATCCAATTCTTGATTGCCTCCTGGAGAATCCCAGTCCCAGCTGGAATTTGACAGAAACTGTTCATTGTTGATGTTGTTGTATGGAGTGTATAATTGCTGGGAATGTGAGAGCAAAGGCGTGTTACTGCATGTTTGTGGTGTGGTCATGACAAGTGAATGTGAGGCACAGGTTTAGGCTGTGCCAGTTCTCCGATAAGAGGGAAACTGGGGTGCATAGCCAGGAAAGCCTGTTTGCTGGGAATGTAGAAAGCGTATCTTGTGTGAGACAGAGCTCTGTTACTCTTATAGGGATAAAGTAGGTACTTACAATATTGTGTCCTTCTTCTTCAATACAGTATTGTCGAAATTTCTTAGTATTTCTAAATATATACAGTAACAGTGTCTTCCAAGTGACCAAATGGTAATAGTGGTTGACCATTGACCATCTTAATTATTTTGTTTCAAATATCACTAGTACGTACGTACATGCAACCTCCAAAAGAAAGAAAAAAATAGTTACATATTAAACACTGTGCTCTATAATACTAATAGTATAATAGAACATTCAAAAGAACATGGAGTTGTTAATTTTGTTTGAGTGAGATTATTCCTACACAATTCAAACATTTATACTGTATATTGTGAACATATATAAAAGATGGAAGACATTCCCAGCTACACCATAGCCTTATATTTTTAAACTTTCTTTCACTCTGGTAAAGGTGTACAGATATTTGGATCTATTCAAGCAATTTCTACCAAACAAATCAGAAGTAGCTCTGGAGACCTCCAAATCCTCAGTCCATAGTTAGCAAAAGGCAGATGAAGTACAAACTATTCCAGATAGGCACAATGTGATTCTCATTTTCTTCTTTATACCTCAGTGACAGGCAAAAGGGTTCACAGCTTCACTATGAAGACTGCATACTGGGATAACAAAACTTGGAACACTTACTGTA